AAGTGAACCTCTTCTACTGTCTAGTCCCAGTAGGTGCCTTCTGCCTCAGACTCAACGGGAACCCAAATACCTTATTATTGGAACACACTCTGATTTTTGGATCTTTCTCCTGTTTCCTAACCCTTGTATCTGAGCACTTGGTCACATAAGAATAAGGCCACTGTCCTCTTTCATTTCATCCTCAAGTCTCATGAACAGCCTTTCTAATGATCTCACATTCTCCTTCTCATTTCTCACATGGAGAACTCAGCTCAGGTCTTTAGCTAATTGACAAAACATAAACAAACAAACAAACAAAAAATCAAGGATGAACAATTTCTGAGAGCAGGGGCCGGCAGGCACACAGAATGGTGTGAATACCAGTATGAAGCTGGAGCCAGAGTTGGGGGGTGGAATAGGGGGGGAGAATGTGTGTGTAAATGTGTGTGTGTGTGTGTGTGTGTGTGTGTGTGTGTGTGTACATGCACGCGCTGGCACATGCGTGTGGTAGGCTCTCTGATTCTTGAATTCAAGTGATCCATTGGCTCTAGCTTCCTGGATGCTGTGACCCAGGTGTGTGTCCCTATGTCTGCCTAGAATCCTCCTTAACATGCATGGATACTGAGTGTCTGTGCTTTAGTTTCCTCGGCTATAAAACACATGTAATAAAGGTGCTGCCCTCCCTGGGTTGGTGTGCTGTTTAAGCAAGGCTAATCCAGAGGAGGCAGCCAGCATGAGATGGCTGACATTGTGAGCTGAACCTGAATGAAGAGAGCTGGAGACACTGAGCCTTGGAGAGATGAAATACTTTGTTTTGGGTCACACAAATACAGAATAATACAACTACTGTAGGAGTCCAGGTACATTCTTTATCAAAAGCTCAATCTCAGTTATTATCAATATGGTTACATCTAGGGGAACCAGCAGACAAAGAGGGCATCTACTGTAATGAAATGTGCATGTTATCTTGTTTTAAAGGTTCAGATTACAAATGTCTTTATTTACAACCTTTGGCTCTTGTGTATTCCCTTTTCATTTTACTTTTCATCCATCTCTCCCAGTAAACTACCCAAGATCTGGGAAATCCCTCGCAAAGCACAGGACCAAATACACAACCTTCAGTAATTATTAAATTAGTGAATGACATTGAATTTTTAAATAAGTAATTTAACTTATTACTTTAATAGAGAATGTAACAGCTGATAGTACACATACACATATGAGATACACTATTAAATTCAAACTATACAGAACCTTTTTTTTTTTCTTTTTTCTTTTTTGTCTTGAGACAGGGTTTCTTGGTTGTCCTGGAACTACCTCTGTAGACCAGGGTGGCCTTGAACTCAGAGATCCACCTGCCTCTGCCTTCAGATTGCTGAGACTAAAAGCATGTGCCACCCTGCTCAAACTATACAAAAACTGGATCAGAGAGAGTAGCGTCCCTCCTACCAATTCCCCAGACTCCTATCTCCTGTCCCAAGAGACATCCACAATGGCTACTTTCTTGAGATGTTATTGAATTATACTGAATTTTTGTCTACTTAAGTTTATTGCCAAAAGAAGTTAGAGAATGGGGGGGGAGGGTGATTTATAAAAATATAGTCAATCTATTTTCTTTCCTGAGAAAGAAACTCAGGTAAATGCTATACTGATGCCAACTTTGTGTGTGTGTGTGTGTGTGTGTGTGTGTGTGTGAGTGTGTGTGTGTGTGTGTGTGTGTGTGTAGCAAGAACAACAGTGAGTGAAGATGCTATCTATACATGCGAGCTCCATCAGGCAAAAGTGCTGTGTTGATCCAGGCATTGCTATGTTCAGGTTCTCATCCCTTGCAGTTGATCTCATGACCCCTTATTCCTGGTTATTTTGTTGTGCAACCAAATTCCCTTGACATGGTCACAGTCTGTGTCTTCAATAAGACAAATAACTTTCTCTTTCTTTTAGCAAGATGCAAGGTCACTGTAACATAATTATCAACTGTTGGGATGACAAAGTGCTTTCTAAAGGAAGGGAAACAGCGACCCCTCTTCATGGTGTGTTCTTTTTGTCAAACAAATGTCTTCACCAGCCCAGGAAAACACACACTGTCTAAAGCTTTCCTTGCAAACTCTTCCAAAGGGTCTTGGAGCTGGCTGCTGTCTTCTACCACACTGCCAATTTTCCCCGGTTATGTGAGGTTTTGTCATAGCACTACACATTCACACCTTGCCACTGTTTAGAGATGGAACCAAACTGCACGTGCTCACACTTGCAGAGGACATGGTGATGATATAGGTACAATTCTCTGATTCAAACTTTTGTTAGTTTTCATTTCACACTAAATGCATATTGCATAATATATATATATATATATATATATATATATATATATATATGACAAAACAAAATAGAATAAAGTTTTAAACACATTTTCCCGAGTGCTGACCATGCCTAAAGATTTGGAAATTAAAACTTATCTTTCTCAGCCAGATTTTGGGGAAATGACTTCTTCATTTTCATTGCTAGCATCTGTTTTGACTCCTTCCCCCATAAGAATTGATGTCTTGACATATTCCTTCTCCATTATTTTGTTTAGGGCTAATATAGACATGGACTCCAATGACAAGTGGAGCCCTTGTTTCGGCTGGGCCCTCTGAGGAAGACATACCAAAAGATAACTGAAGGGTTCTTCCTTTCCTCCTGAATCTGTTTGCTTGTAAGTTGTCTGTTTGCTATTCAGGACCTTTGGTGTAAGCTGGTCCCTCTGACTGTCAATGAGCTCTTTTTGTGTTTCTTTGTCAGGGGCTTCTTACTGCTTATAACTCCTCAGTTTCCACCAGTAAAGCCAACCCTGAGGGCATCCAGCCAACTTATCTACTCCAGCTCCGCCAAGTCAGGCCGCAGTTCTCACAAATCTGAGGAAAAGCCCCACTAGGAAGTGAGAGCCCTAGAGAAAACAGACCCTTAATTCCTGACATTTTCTTCTTGTTAGGAGCCATGCTATTTCTCTGTATTTAGCAACTTCCTTCTCTATTATTCCGACTTCCAAACTTATGCCCTATTCCTTTCCACTCCTCTATTCTTCAATGGAAGTATTTTGTCATAAGGATTGAACTCTTGCTTAGAACACCATTTTGAATAAATAGTTCATTCTGACTCTTTTCCAAACATAGTGAGCTCCATACATATTATAGTATTACATATCACATTATATTATAGTATTGTATATAGTAATATATGGTATAGTATTGTGAAGCAATTAATTGTTTATCACATGGTGTGAGGGATGAGACTTAATTGCAGAATTTTGATCACTTTTGATCAGTTTGTAGAATTTATCACTTCTTTTCCTTGACTTTAACTGGATCTCTCAAAGGGTAGAGTGCTGCTAAGGGTGTATGGCTGCATCTGGCAGTGTTGCCTCGCTGGCCTCCACACCACATGACATTTCCCTTCTTAACACTTCTTATACAAGTCAGTAGTCAGCAGGGCAAGGAAGGGCAAGATGGCTCGCCACATAGGAGGACAGTGTCTGGCACTAGACTGACTTCGCTTCTCTTCTCTGGCTCAGTGGCTTTGGGCAAGCTGCTTGGTCTCTTTGTGACCAGTTTCATCCACAAAACAAGGATGTCTGTAGTATCATAGTCACCATCACGCGTGAGGGTGAGGGCATGGAATCCTCCCAGAAGGTAGCTGGGCTTGTCTCATGTATATACTCTTGAGTATTCTGTCTCTTGGCGTCACAACAACTGTGATTCGGGGCATAAAATGAGGCAAGAACATTACAGTTGGCCCTGACTCCAGGACCAGGCCTCGGCGTTAAAACTCTTCCTCCTGGAACGTACTCAAAGCTGGGAACCTACTGAGGAGAGCCATTATTTCTCAGACTCTGAGGACATGCCACCTGGAGTATCTCCACAATGAATCGGAAACCTACTAATCAACAATCACTCACTGAAAAGGGCCAAAGGTGCTAAGATGGGATTAATCTAAATTTATGACAAACTTTTCTCTCTGGCTGCATTTCTCTTTGTCATTCATAAGTCAGCTTTCTGGACAAAGTTATATCTATACTTTATACAAGTTTCTTAGTTTTTATGAAGTCATTCATTCTTTAAAATTTATGGATTTCTTGGCTAATCACAAAGTAGCAATTAAAATTTTACCTGAATGCAAATTGGAAGAAAGTTATTTTAGGACTTAGTGTATTGGTTTATATGTTTTCAGCTTCAGGATGTCTACACTGGTTTGGTCAAAAATTCCAGATATTATATTTTAAGGTAAGATTTGTGTTGTCTATAACTAATGAACTAAAACTTCAAATAGCTATAAACCAAACAAACCATAGTTTTATTAATACAGATTGCTGTCAACCATGCTAAATTAGTAAGGAACTGAACTATTTAAAAAAATGACGTAGCTAGCTATGGCAGGCTCTATGAGGCAATGAATGAAAGAGACCTGTGTTAACATTTTCCCAATTTACCTTCCCAAGTCACTGAATGTGAGCATGCAAACACAGGGTAGACTTGACTTCCATTTTTAAGCACTCAGCTTCAAGCTGGCACTAGCTAGGACTATAATTACTACTGGAGGTCCACTGTTCATCTTGGGTACATTAATTGTATAAATCACTTTCAAGCAAAAGTGACATTGTATAAGGATTATATTCTTTCAGCCATGTCTAGCCTGCTTGATTTGTTTTTGTGAGTATCTAACTACTCGTGCCTAATGATTCAATTACCACTCCTTTATCCTCATGTGACTTGGGAAAACAATTATTTCTCTTATCCACACAATCAATGAATGCTCATAATTCTTAACAATTCTTTCTGATTAGCATATGTGACTCCCAACACACTGCTGGGTTTTCTTGTGGGGGAAGGGAGGGCAGGAAACCTCTTCAAATGCAGAGATCCCATCTATTCAAACTATCAATTTGAATACCTACAATCAGTCTATCTGATAACACTCCTGGGCATTCAAATGTCCCACAGAAACAGGATACAGGCTTCTATAATTTTGGTTTTGGTCAAGTGACTCACCCACAATGACAGCAGTGACTGTGAGCAGCACAAAAGCATTCCGAAACAGGTAACTCTTAACATCCTCCTTTGTGATGTTCTGTACTTTCTTCTTGGCCAAAAGTGTGCGCTTGCGGACTCCTTGCTGGAATCTCTCCATCCTGCCACCCATCCTGGGCTCTTCTCCATTGCTTTTTGTCATGTTTTATTTTTCTAGGAATACCGTGTCCTTGTACTTCAGTGTTGTGAAATTGTCCCCAGACAGTGAAATCTCCTCTTTGGTGTTAGAGAATACAACTAGAATGGGACAGAAAGAGACAAAAGTTACTGCCTCCTGGGATGGGAAATCAATGTTGGCTCATGCCGCTGTGGGCACTGGGTAAATGGAACTAGAAATTGAAGATTGGAGAGCTACAATATCAGGTTATGTTGTGTTCATTTTATTGGACTATGTGTACAAGATGGACATACAATTAGAATAGATGATCAAAAAGAAATTACGTTCCAATTTCCAGTTTGCTCTTTCCCACAATGAGTAAGGGGTTCTTCAGAGTTGGACATGACCCAGTGCCTGCATTCCCACTCTGTTCCTCAGAGCCCAGCCAAGAGCCGTGCACAACCTACACTCAATAATTGCCCAGTTGAACTGAACACACACTTGTATGTGACTGAACATGTCTTGTATGTGATTGCAGACATTACTGTGTCAATAGAAAGGATTGAGGAAATTGGGATATTGACATTCGTAGTAAATCTTTGGTTTTATGTATTAATTTCACTAAGAAACATGAACAGGTTAACTTGTAAATATGGTCATAAAAAGAACACAAGTGCCTGGGGGACAGTAAAAATGCATTTGAGACTTTTACAGGGTAACTTTTCCCATGAAATAAGCACATTGCCCTAGGCACATCTATAAATTATCAGAAATAAAAATCCATTTTCATATTATTGGAAGTAAGAACATAACGTAACATCTGCGTTTACAGCAAACCTTCAAGTCACGCGAGTCTTCATATTTAGAAAATTAGGATTTCTGAGACAGATGAGGAGAGAATCCAGTTTTCATTCCAAACATTACAGCTTGTGGTTTCTGGTTTCTTTAAAGTGCTCTTAGGTTATTCAAATACAAACGACTAACCCATTTTTCTTGCTGGAAATCATGGGCTTCCTCCTGTAGCTGTGCAAGATTCTTAATCCCTAGTCTTTGGCGATGATCAGTTTTGCCTGTGGACGTGTGTATCTGGCAAAGCCAGAGCCAGCGTGTGCGTCTGTGGGGGAGGCAGCTGCAACTCGGCAAATCCAAGGGTGCAAAATAAAAGACTTAACAGTTTGACTTTGAAATAAAATTGCAGGTTGAGGTCACTGATAGTAAAACCTGCCATGTGTTTAAGACTTTACACTAGATTAAAAGCTTAGAGAGTGAAAGGGAGAGAGAGTCCAGATTTTTTTTTTTTTTTTTTTTAAACGGATAGTTCTGATGTCTCTAAGCCGTCGGTTCCCCTTAAAAAACACCAGCTCTATCTTGATTTTATTTCTACATCTCGGACCTCCATTTACCCCCAGTCCACCTTGAACGACTGAATTTCAAAGAAGAGCCGACTGGGCTTGGCTAGTTAGCTCACGCTGGCGGTACTCCGTCCTAACAGGACCTTACCTACCAACATGGCTAGTTTTACTCCTCCGCTCGGCAAACAGAAAAATGGGACACGAAACTGAGCCCCGCGAGATATAGGAGGCTGCGCTTACCTTTTTTGTTTCTGTGACGGGTGGAAGACACCCCAGGCAATGTCAAGGTGAATTCCCCAGCAGGTAGCTCGGAGTAATAGCCGGGAGAGCAAGCAGCGAGCTAGAGGGCGAGCGGCGGGGCAGGCTAGCCCTGACAACATGCATGTGCTCTGAAACCGCCACTTACTATCAGGCAACTTAAGAAAAGAGGCGGAGCCTGGGCTGGGGAAAGGGGGAGTGGGGAAATGAAAACAGCAGGGGGAGGAGAGGGAGCCCGAGCTCTCCGGAATATTGATTAATCTTGGCACACCAGAAGTATGCTGGCTCGCTTTGTTTTGCTCCTTGCTCCATAGACCTCTTTCACGCTTTGTCAGTTCACTTTTATTAGAAATGCAAAAATCAGGACCCGGAAAAAAAAAAAATCGAAAACTAAAGCACACGCACACTTGGACGGAGGAAGTCCCGATTAGGAACGTTTGGAAGACTTCTCCAAGACCATATTTAATTACCTCACATTATTGCAGGTTTCCTCCACTTCAGGAGACGTCAGAGGGTGTTCTTTTGCCTGCTCAAACAACTGTTGTGTGTTCCCCACCCCCTTAGCATTGGGAACATGATTGACATTTCTTGGAAGGATCCTGAATACAATTGAGTATAGAGAGGAGAATTCTTACTGACAACCTCTCAACTTGTATAAAATTACTCAAAACACAAGGTGAGACATGCCTTATCTTAGCCATTTTTAAAATTCCTATATGACAGATCTAATTGAGCTCTGGCTGCCTGCTCCGCAGACAGGTAAGAAACACAAAGGTACCAGGATCACTGCCAAACCATAAAGTCAATGGCGTTTTAAGACCCAGACTGCAGATGCATTCAAGATTTCCAAAGGTAAGTTGTTATTCAGTTGCTTCCTTTTTAAAGGATGCTGAATGTTTAGGAGTTAGAAAGGTCTCCTGGTTTTGAGACTATAACTGGTACTTTCCTGGCCATTCTCTCCCTCTCCTTTTTTGGGGGGGGGGTTGAGACAGGGTGTCTCTGTGTAGCCCTGGCTATCCTAGAACTCACTCTATAGACCAGGCTTTCCTCAAACTCAGAGATCCCCCTGCCTCTGCTTCCTGGGTGCTGGGATCAAAGGTGTGAGCCACTACACCTGACCTTGGCCATTTTTCTTAAAAGGAAAAGAAACTGCACAAATAAACATCCTATAAAATGAAAATGAATTGTCCTTGGGTGGTACTTTCCCTCCCCTCAAGTTAAAAACTTGTTTAGGTGAAAAAAAAAAAAATTGGCTCATCAGAAAGCTAAACACACAAAAAAATCACAGCCAGTGATTCCCAAGCAAAGTGTGCTCAGTTTTGGTGTCTGTCATCCAACACCAAAGTATGTATTTTTGTTCCTTATTAGCAAATCCAGGGAGCTAGAGAAAAAAAAAAATGTTCCCTGCCAGCCTTAATCATTCATGTATGTACTGTGGGATGGTGATCTGTATGAGTGCCTGCTATGACAAATTAGCAGCAATTGTAACAACTCCCTAACTTGACACCATTTTAATAATTTAATTAAAATACAGTTTCTTGTCAGTCTCAGCCCTTTGTGGTCTCTTGCTTTCCTCTGATCCCTCAGATCCCTTAATATCCGCACTCTGTTGCTTAACCCTTAATTATACCTTGCCTTGCCCTGTGCCCTTCATTTTAAGATCATGCCAAGTCTGGGCTTCTCAACAAAATGATAAGTTCTTTGAGGGCAAGAGCCTGTCTTGTGCCTCATGAACAGGGAACATTAAGCAATTCTTATGCATGGCATATATAACCTAAGGGATTATATCACTAATTTACCACTTGCTGTGATACATCAAAGCTACTTGTTTTTCTATTTGTAGCTTGGATGCATAACAGAGTCCATAGACTGCCATCTTCACCTGAGTCATGCATTTGGAACTACTATGTTCACTTTCTTTTTCTGTAAATGATTTGCATTTCAAGGGAACTTGAGAGAGAAATAGGACACTTTTAAGTGGAGTTTCAAATCAATAGCATTTCTGCTCACACTGCCCATCTCCCAAGACCAGCATGAAAATGACCTGGAAAACATTCTAGATAGCATAGAGGAAAGCCTGTATTTTTTGCTTGGTTGTTTTTTTCTTTTTTCCTTTTCCACCCTTTCCAAAACCCTAAAGCTTGGCTCAAACAATTTTATTATTTTAATTTGTGCAAACAGCACAGGAGTCTGGAGTTCATAGAGAAAGGAAGTAATTCACCCTTGAAGGTTTTTGTTTTGTTGGTTGTAATAAAAGCTACTGAGAAAATGAGACTCAAAGAGCCTTAGTTCAGAGTTCATATGAACTGCAAGGTTTGGGTCTGGGCCAGATATTGGGAACGACTTCTGGGCACTACTCTTTCAGAAAACCGTAACAATAATGTCCCAGGGGCCACCTGGATTTGTTCTGAGTATTTTTCTCATTGTCCCCTCCATTTCCTAAGCAGGGCTGTTGAACTTTAAAATGACCCCTCCCTTCATAGATACATCAAATAAATGAGGTCAAGACATCATGAGCAAATGTCTGCCAGTTGTATTACATTTAAAACTACTCAGATACTGGACCCAGAGCCCAGGAAGCATTAGCACTGGAGTTGCAGATGAAAGCAAATAAACCCCCCCAAACAAGCACACTCAGGGAGCAAATGCTGGTCCTTTTGAGAAAACTGTGCAGGCAACAACAGACAACCTGCAGTTAGGTAAATTCTTTCTTCTGGGAAAAATAGAATAATGTAACAACAAAGCAATTACTCATCTGTAAATGAAGCATCCCTGTTAACCTGGCTTGCAATATGAGTGGTGGTGACCGTAAGTGCTGGTCTTGATACCTGCAGGACTATCTCTAGGGAATTGATGGTTTTTTTTTTTTTTGTCCCCCACCCCACTCCCAGAAAGAAGATAATTACAAAATTTTAAGCTTTGTTGAATATCTCCTACTTTGATCACTTAGTTTCAAGAGAAATTTTTGTCATTCTTTCTTCAGATGACTTGCACTTCAGGATCTCCTAAGAAGTGTCTGTTCTCCTTACAGTTTGGGAAATCAGAACTATTAAGATAATGAGAAGAAACTTGACTGGGTCCCCAATGAATAACTGTAGACCAGCTACAGAGAGCAGGCATAGATGCATGGCTGGAGGTAGATAGCTTTTCATTTTGTCACACACACACACACACACACACACACACACACACACACACACACACACACACTCCAGAAATATCTGTGGTGAACCCCAGGCTGTTGTTTTTAACTGACTGGGTTTCATTTTAAAAATCATATGAAAGCTGAAAAATGCAACTATTCTAACTGTAAAGCTTAATTAGTTAATCATGCTTAGTCATTCATGTATTCATTCAACCAACATGAAACAATCACTGTGCTTCAAATGTTGGTTTCTTTCACAACCACACATCCGTAGCCATTATGCAGCAGACCAGAGAGTGTTATGGGAATTCCATGGGAGCCCTATTAGCCAGTTAGCTTGCTAATGAGATCAAGAACAAGATGAGTGTGGGAGATGTGTGGACTCCTCCTGCAGGATGTGCAATCATGGAGC